AGATGGTGCTGCTGCTCCACATTGACAAATCCCAGCTTTCAGCAGGCCACCAGGTTTTGCCAGAGGAGCTGTAGTTCACATGTGGCATTGAGAGTGAGACCAGCCAGAATGGGGCCATGGCTAGTCCCCTGCCCCAGAGGTTGGTACTGCTGTCCTGCCAGTCCCTGCCCTCGTCTCAGGCACCCACCATCAACACCTCGATGTAAGAGCAGCTCTTGCTTGGCGTGATGCAGCCAGGGTCTCCTGAGCAGACACAGGGCTGTCCCACTCCAGCACTCACAGCTCAGATCTGTGGCTTCAGCAAGCCCAGCTCCTTCCCCAGCATCCACGACAGGACCTGGAATGTGATGAGGACAAGCAGGGATGATGCAGGAGCAGGTACACAACTCCAACCCAGTGCTGATGCAGCTGTGTACGTGTGGAAGTTGGAGCATCACCAGCAACCACAGCTCTCGAGGACAGTGACAGCCACACTGCCCATTCCCAGCACAGTCACTGCACCTGGGGTGAGCAGGAATCTTCCCACCTCAGCCTCCACAGGGCATGCCTGCAGGACCAGCCATCCAGACACCGTGCCTGGGCAGCAGCTTCTCTGTCCACCGACTGTCATCACCAAATTACAGTTTGGAATTGCCTTTCCCCTCCTCTGGCCCAGAGCTGCCAGGCACCTGGAGGCCACCAATGTCACTTCAGGCACGTACTGCCACCACTCTGCCAGCCTTTAGCTCTGCACTGTCCCAGAAACCCCCGGGTGAAAGGAGAACGTCCAGGCACGGGGCAGGAGCTCGCATATCATAAACTGTGCCCCACAGACCCCTCAGAGCTGTTGGTCCAGTGGATATTGTGATTAAACCCTCCAAGAAGAGCAGGAGCACCCACATGGACACCAGCCAGACTTCCCAGGATGTCTGCAATCTTAAACACTCCCTTGGAGCAAAGTTGGTGTCCAGGCATGAAGTTTGGGATAAGGTGAGGAGGCAAAGGCCTGCAAGCAGGCACTAGGGTGCCGTGGAAATGGTTCTCCGAAGGCAGTGGGTGACCATGGTTTGCCATTATTACAGACAAAATTCATTTGTGAGCAGAGGAAAATAAGCTGAAATCAGCCCTCTTGGAAGAAGGAATTGTAGAATTGAAAGCTGCCTTTCAGTTGTAGAATTAAAAGCTGCTGCATCCTAGGATTTTGGATGCCTTGGTCCAAAGCCCCACACCCCAGGGAGCAGCAGTGTGCTCCATGTCCCTGCGAACCAGCCACCACCCAGGGTTCTCAGCTTGGGCTTCGTTTTTTTTTCCCTTCCCATTCAGGAACTTCAGCCAGAGCCTACATTGGCTGCAGCTGGAAAACAGCCTGTCCTGGGGCTATCTGGCAGTGCATCAAGCACGCTGTTCCCTAGCTACGCCGTTGTCACAACTGTGGCAGCACACTTTAACCTTTACGTTTTCCACGGGAAGGGAGGCTCTCGGGGCCAAACGCAGCCCGTTCTCCAGGAAACCCTACACCCCGGCTAAATCGAGCCCAGGGCAGGCTGAACAACACCCCACCTGAATCCCAGCCATGCTGTTGTAACACAAACCAGCCAGGCTGTCTGGCCCGGCGGGCACAGCTTAACTGCTTCCATTGGCACCCAGGACTTCCACAAGCTGCTATTGTCACAACAGGTGCCACCAAGGTGATGGGCAAAGACAAGAAAAAATCCCAGCATCATCAAAAGGGTGTCCAGAACTGTGCAGCATCTCGAGGGCTGGAATGGGTCCACAGGCAGCAGCACCAGTGAGCACCAGGACTTGCTGATGTGTTTCCAGCCTCAGGTCAAGCCATGGTGGCAGCCAACAGCTTCCCAGTGGAGAGGGGAGAAGCAAAGCTGTATTTTGAGAGCATCATCAAGCCTTTCCATAAGAATTTTATTCATCAGATAAACAGATCTTTCAACTCAACATAAAGCTCCAAGAAAACATTGCCTGTCTTTGAGTTCCAGCTCTGGTCCAAGTTCAGCAAATTATTTTGGGTACAGCTCCACTAGAAAGGCATCGGGGGAATATTTTTGTATCCAGCTCTCCTTGCTTCCCCTTCCTCTCACCCCTCCCTCTCAAAACACACACATAAAGGTGGTAGGCTTTGAGTTCTGGAGTACAAGAATGTTTTTGCAAAGTCCATACAACAAGAACATAGATTTTACATCAGTTTCTCAGCCTACCCTGACTTCAGAGGCAGGTGCTGGAACAGCACTCATTTAAATCCCAGTCTCCTGCTCCAGTCCTTTAAATTTTTTCCCCCAGCCCTGGGAAAATCACCTTGCTGAAGCCTTGACCAAACCCCATCCTCACCAACATCCAGCTCCTCTGAGACACCTGTCTTTTACACACTTTTTACACTAGAGCATTTTTTCCACCATGACATGATTTCCCTCTGAATTAAGAGGGCGAATCCCACCCACCAGGCTGCAAGAACCCAGTGGGTGACTCCAAGCTCAGCCAAACACCCCAGACCCTTGGAGGCACAGCTGCCTGAG